CATAAACAAAGATGAAAGGGATGTTGGAAGGGGAACATGCCAGATAGCTTTTATTTTCATATCAGCAAAAGTAGAATCTTTTGAGCAGAATTCTTTGGCTGTTGGATCAGCCGAAGGTCCTAAGACGGGCCAATTCAAATTAAGCCTGAAATAGTTCTCTAAACAGCCACAGTTTGAAATAGGTCTTGAGCCTGGGGCCAGAGTGAGATGTTGGACTCAGATCTCAAGTGAGGAATCAGTGACTCCTAAAAGTCTGACATGCAATTTCTTCCCCCAGCCCCTGTTTTTATTTAAAAAAATTTTTTTTCTCATTCTGACATGCAATTTCTTGATCCCAAGAGCCCCTCTCTAGCTCAGATAGTCACCTTATTACAGTATCGTTCATTCATATAGTCCCCAGAGCTATAGGAAGCAATAGATGGATGGTGTATTTATTCTGTATCCCATCCCATTCCATTTGAAAGCTTACCATTTAACCAGCTGGTTATCCTTAGCTGGATAACCAAGGGCGGAACGTTTACTCAAGTTCACTAAAGCGTTTTTGCTGGGTTTATGAAACATCTTAAATTAAATATCCAGCTGGGATCATTCAGAACAGAAACACAGTCTCTTAATACAGGTGGCTTCCAACTCGCAGCACATAAAGCTCTTCGCTTGCCCTGGCTCCTTTCTCCCCAACATGACTATGGGGATCTGATGGGAAAAATCCCACAGGAACTATGTGAGCTTAGAAGATGGGGGAAGGGAAACCTGGGAAGAGCCGGGGGGAGCTGACCCAGGGGCAGACTCCCAGGCAAGGCTGACCTGCCTACGTGCTGACCAACCCCATGACGGTGGGGCCCAAAATAGCCTCCCCCCCAAGGCCTGCGCTGCTTTCACTCTGCGAATTATGCTGCGCTGCTTGAAATTCCACTGTTTGGAGTGGCGTCTTGGCTGAGGCCGGTGGGAGGAAAGGCGCTCCTTGGGGGCACGGCGATGGGCCATTGGAAACAGGAGGGTGACAAACAGCAACTACAATCCTCATCTCTGGGGCTTTACGCAGCATTACCTCATTTAACCTTCACAGCCACCCCAGGAGGCAGGCTTACTATTACCCCTATTGTAGCGATGAGGAAGCTGAGGTTTAAGAGATGTGAAGTAACAGCTGGGTAAGTGGCAAGGCTGGGATCCAAGCCATAGTCTGAACTGAATGGGGAGACTTGAGCTTGTGCTGTTGAAATGCTCTGATTTCTTGCTCTGCCCCCCTACAGACGAAGGAAGAGACTCTAGCCTAATAATATTGTGAATTATATTTCAGTTGTATCGTGGTTTACTTGCTAGCTTGATTTAGAAGATGGTTCCTATAGGCAATTTTGTGACTTGCTACCAAGCAGGGGGACCATAATCCCACTATATTACAACAAACTGTGGATGGCCTGTAATTACAGTGTAACAACGCTCAATGTTTCCTCTAGCGGCTTCCAGGCCCACAAAAAAGCCCACTTTACCAGTCCAGGGTTTTTCCCATTTACTCTCAGTTTACAATGCTACCAAATCGTACCGCACGTCCTCCATACTGGATAGTATGTCCCATGAGGGCAGGGACTCTGTCTGTTGTGTGTACCAAGGGCCCCCCAGCACCGAGGACAGTGCCTGGCACATTCAGCCACACATGAACTCTTTGTTAAACGCATCATGCCATTAGATCACAGCTTTTTAAAACCACATACACGTTATGCCTTTTCTGTGAAACACCTTTAGGTCTCGCCCGCAGCTGCGACCTGGTATGTGACTGTGATTAACTACTAAATTCAGGCAAGCTGTGCAAGATGGTTTTAGTCGATAGTGGAAGTCCTTCCTCCCACATAAAGGGTTTCCCCCCAATAGCAAAACCAAATGCTCTCTGCGCATGTCCGTGGTTTGGGGACACTCTGCCCCCAGCTTCAGCGGACCTGCCTCCTGCCATCCTGGAACTCTTGGACAATCTGCCTTTTTGGGCTTCCTTGTAGCTCTAAAGTGCTATGCCGCCTGTGGGTTCCACCTTCTAGATCAGGGGTCCTCAAACTACGGCCCACGGGCCACATGCAAATACAAATATTGTATTTATTCCCGTTTTGTTTTTTTACTTCAAAATAAGATATGTGCAGTGTGCATAGGAATTTTTTCATAGTTTTTTTTTTTTAAACTATAGTCCGGCCCTCCAACAGTCTGAGGGACAGTGAACTGGCCCCCTGTTTAAAAAGTTTGAGGACCCCTGTTCTAGATTCCTCATGCCTGCCTTAATCACCTTTGGAGAAGATAGTGGCAAAAAGCAAAATAAAAGAACAGAGATAGCTAAAGGAAGAGTCTTGGATGCCCCACAAGGAAAATCACAAATCCTTGAGTTTCGGTACGTTCCAGTTGCTATCGGGGGTGGCCACAGCCCATTTACTTTGTAGCCAACCTCTAGGGAAGCAAGGGAGCCACTTATCATTTCTACTTGGCAGTTCATCCTCGGAATAGGATCCCGACTGCTTCACTGAACACTGGGACCAGCAGGACACAGGCAACCCCGGGGTGAGTACATGGACGGGGCGCAGCCCAGTCCCCTCTGCGCAGCACAGAACGACTGCGGCAGCGTCCAAGAGCCTTTGCTCGTCACTAAGTTACTGCATTCGAAAGGAAGCGGGGCCAGGGTTTGTGGCACGTTATATTTTCAAATGGAACAAGTGACTTAGTGCTTTTCTGCATAAGCCTTCACCAGTGGCACGGTGTACAGCGCAGAATATAAATGTCAGCGCCGTGACAGGGGCGTGCTGACACGGTCGAGTGCTCAGAGCCTGCACACTGTCAGGGCCCCGCTTTCCCTGCGCTGACAGCTGGCTACTGGATTGGACGTACCTGGAAGGAAGTCAGTTTGGCTTAGAAGGCGGCCCAGTTTCTCTGCAAGTTTTCTCTAGGACCTACTGGGTCTTCCCATAGAGACAGCAGCCCTGGGTGGGCTCTGCTGGTTCGGATGTAAGTGGAGTAGTCAGAATCCTGTCCACTGTGACTCAACATCCGTTTTGGAAAACGGAAGGAATCTCCCTCCCCCCACAGCAGGCTCCCCTCCTCCCCCGTCAGCAGGAACACTGCTACCTGGCTTTGTGACCGGTGGTATCTTGGAGGCACAGATTTTCTCAGGGTATTAGCAGGTCATAGTGATCCTAACCCTGACTGCACATCAGACTCACCTGGGGAAGATCTAAATCCCCAGATGCCCAGGCCACGCCCCAAACCCATTAAGTCAGAACCTCTCAGGTGAGGCGCAGTGTCAATAGTCATTCAAGTTCCCCCGGTGATGCCAATAAGTAGGGGTCTTTTATGAGACTTTTCCCAAAGGAGGCCAGGGCAGGGGCATGAGGGCCAGGGGGCAAAACTCATAGCCACTGGCATTTGGGAGTGGAAAGGCCTGCCTTTACTGTACAGTTTTAAATCGTTCATTGAGTTCTCAAGCAAGTAAGTAACGTGTCCAAAGTCACAGAGTCCGTCGGAAGCAGAGCCAGAACCAGGTGCCGGCACTAACTAAGCCCAGGTAGTCAGGATACGGATATGCCACCGAGGGCTCCAGGAGTCAATGGGCTTCATCATCTGGCAGCCATGGTTCCCTCGTTTACCACTGTGTCTCTGGTCCTCTGGCCTAAGCTACGCGAATGAATGAAAAGCCGTGTAGCTCACCCGGGCACTATTGGAAAGACACTGGTACTGAGGGGCATTTTACACTTAAGGTTCTATTGCAGAATCATTTATAGAGACTAAGACGGAAATTCGCGCTTGAGACCAAAGCCCTTAAGAATAGGTTTCTACCGCACAACTAAGTGACGGAAACTCTCAGAGCAGCTACTTTAATTTCAAGGAATCAAGCATGTCCTCTTGCTAACCTAAGTCACTCTTGAAGTCTTAATTTGCCTTGAAAAATGAGCTTTTTGGGGACGTCTGGCAGAATATGCTTTTATTGTTGTAAAGAAGCATAAAATAAAGACATCACATTTCCTAGGCTGGTCTTAGCCCAAGGCTGCAGGGTTTGGGGGACTCTTAACCACACAGCTGACTTGTGGAGCCACTTCTGCTGTGCCTGTGACCACAGAATATTTCAAGTGCAAACTAGCTGGGGGCTCATGGGAGGGGGAGTAGCCAGGGTGACTCCTGGCTAGAGCTCTCTTTTGCTTTATTTGGGGATTGTGTCAAATGTTACGCCTTGTTACCTACATACCCTCCCCCCCTGCCCCCCGCCATGACCTCTGACCTGTAATGTAGCATGCCTGGCTTCAGGCAGCAGATACACTTCTGAAGAGTGGAGGGTAAATTAAACCCCAGCTGACGCCCTAATAAAGTGCCCTCTAAAACATCTGTGAGAGGCGCCATCGCAGGTGTACCTTCTAATTTGCATAACCTGGTTTCTTGTCTTAAGAGTTAACGTTGTCATGTGTGGGGTGAGCTCCCGCGCTCCCGCCAGTTCCAGCCAGCACGTTACCCTGTCTTTCCCCAGCAGATCTGACACTGCCCAGATCTTGCTCCGGGAATCCCGTCCCTCCTGTGTTTCCTCTGATGCGGGTTTGGCTTGTGAAACCTCAGCCTCTTCCCTGGCCAGGGCGGTTTAGGATGGAGACGCAATTGCTTTCAGGCCAGGGCTTTGGAAGAAAGGAAAAAACAAACGTGTGTGTGTGTGTGTGTGTGTGTGTGTGTGTGTGTGAGAGAGAGAGAGAGAGAGAGAGAGAGAGAGAGAGAGAGAGAGAGGAGAGGAGAGGACTGTGTTTTCGGTGGTCTAGAAGATACTGTTCATTGGAATGCTAAATGCACAGCATAAAACGTGACACCCTCTGTCCTGGGCAAACCAGCAGCACGTGTCATCTACAGACTAGGCCTGTGGGCAGCAGCCTGAAGCGCCTGCGCGAGTGGGAAGGTAATGCTGCCACCGGGCTGGCCTGGGGTGCGTGCGGGCGGGGGGCGGGGTGCGTGGGGGTCCGCCGGTGGGCCCCCCGCGGGGAGGGAACGGTTCTTACAGTCACTGCTCAGCGCGAAGGGCGCGCGGCGGCCGGGGGAGCGGTCTTCGGCGGGCGCCTCGGGAGGCCTCTTACCGGCGGGCAGCGGGAAGGCGGACGCGGTGTGGAGCAGCGCCAGGCAGACAGCCACGACATCCCATAACTTCATCCTGGAGTCCCGGCCGGCGGCGGCACCTGCGCCCGCGGGCGAGAGAACCGAGAGCGCGGTTAGGCCCGGGCGCCCCTCCACCTCGGCCCCCGCCCCCTCCGAGGCTCTCTGGGCATCTCCGACTCTTGCCCCGTCCCAGGGGCGACCCGAGCCACTCTCTCGGGGTCCGCACGCAACCGCCTTTCTCTTTCAACACCCCGTCCCGGGGTCTGATTGTGGCCCAGGGCCGCTGCCCCCCCCCCCCCCCAGTCCCGATACGACGACACCAGGACCCCGTCACCTCGCGGACGCCGGGACGCCCGCCCCCCACTCTCTGGGGGCGACCAGGAAGCCCCCACGCTGTTTTGCGCCGCCCCAGCCCGTCTCTCCAGACAGCTGCGGGCAAACCGGCTCTCAGCCCAAATAAGCGGCCAGATCTTTTATTTTAGAATAAAATCCAGCGCCCCTGGGCCCGGGGTCCGGATCCCGCGCCCAGCTGAGCGGCGGCAGGCTCGGGGCACCTCCGACCCCACCGGCCGCCCACACGTCATCGCACCTGTTTGGTGGTGGGAGCCAGGAGTTAGTAGAGACTTGGAGACTGTGGGCCGGGGTGGGACTGTGTTAAGTTACGTAACTCCCCGCAGCATCCACTGGTTTAAAATACGAGTTCCCCCTCTTAAAGGTATGCACATCCACCAACTACATGAAAGCCCAGGGGAGCTTAAGGCGCGCGCAGCCCATGCTGCAGCTTGCACAGGGAGGGAGGGCGCTGGTCTTGAAAATGTTCATCCTTCGTGGTATATGTATATACCCGGACACTTTCAATTGTGCAGTTTTGCGCGATTTCGAGTCTACAATCCCTTCCCTTCCCAAACGAGTCTCG